TATACTTATAATAGGTCTATATGGGATTTTGAGAATAGTAAAACATACACCCCTGAAAAATTCATTTTGCCCCTCCTAATAGCAAAAGGAGTTTCAAATTTCAAGGAGGTATTATATTTCTCAAAGTGATGGACTTCCTGGATATTTAGTCCAAGCAGCAAAGGGTCAATTGTGTTCTAGATGATTATTTATTATGCTTTCAATTGTGTAACATTTCCTGTGGTACTGTAAATAAGTTATAGCCTTGCCCTTAGTTTTGCGGGCAATAACTAATAAGTGTACATCTTTTTATACAACTTAAGATTTATTATTATATGATGAGGTATATATTTAGAAATTAACCATCTTCTATGACAAATTTCCTTTCCGTTCAAAAAGTATACCAAGTAATCTAGAGTTGCTCATATTTTATTTTCCTGTAGTTAATAACATCAGAACCAGGTTTTATTAATTTGATTAGTAATAGTCAAGGCTGTATAGTTTATAGAACCATCCAGGAAATTAGATGAATTGAGTTTTTAAGCGTTGCCAATTGCCATTCGGCAATGGTCCACTATAAATTGAGTTTTTTTTTTTGCTCAAGGGGCAACTGGAATAAATCCAAAAATTAAATATGAAACGAATGCGGCAATTTGGGTCCCAAATGTAGGAAAATTAAAGCGTCCCTAAACTAGAAATGATTCATGACACCCCTAAAATTTGAAACGTACAATTTTTTACGTGCAAAGCACAGTGATGCTGATCAGGTCACAAATTAGCCTATTAGTAAAAAAATACCCCTCTCCGCTGCCAAGGTACCAAAATCCCAACTCAGAGCTAACACTTCTACTTTCAACTTGCTCTTGTGATCTAATACCTAATTGCTAGTTGATTTTTTTTTTTTTTTTTTTTTTAACATAAAAAGTGAAAAACCTATGATAAGAAGCCGGCTCAGACATTGTCTATCATATTTTCTATAGTTGTTAATAATGAAAAAAAAAAACCTATAAAATATAAGAAACATTCCAAATTAGGATGATTGAGATTAGGAGAAGATTTTTATTGAATTAGTTGACATCGTTTTTCTTAAGGAAACTCATTTGCATTGTTTTCCTCATACTGAGGGAAAGTTTAGACTAGCGATTAATCAACAAGTTTATTTCATGTTCTTTGTGAATCGTTTAAATTAAATTTATCCACTTGATTAAAAAAGTATCAAAGCCCTTCAAAAGATATAAAAAATAAAAAAACCCTTGAAAGGGGCATTTATACCTTATAAAAAAAGCCAATGACTTTAATTCTATGCGATATCACATGAAAAAAAATTAAAAAAACCCTTAATAAAGCTAAGCCAATATCTAATTTCTATGGGCTCAATATGATCCAAGGACAGTTCTCAAAAGTACATGTAAATGATCGGATCGGCCCGGCCCACCTAAACTTTATGGGCCATATTACTGTTTGTTGTAGGTTGGCCCTTCATGAATACTAAATCATGCCGGGTCGACCCCAGCACGATTTTGAAACTCAGGTCGAGCTTTAAAAATGGCTGGTTCAAGCCCAAGCACAATGAGTAGCACGAAACTTGGCAAGATATGTTTATGGGCTTGGCACGAATTGGCTTTATGGGCTTGATAAAATGGACTTGTGGGCTTGTATTAAAGTTTTTAATTTTTTTTTATACAAGTATTTGTTCTCAATTACTAATTATTAACAATTTTTTATTAAAATTTTTAGAAGAAATAAAGATAATCTAAAATTAATTTTTGAAGGAATAATAAATATAGATATATAAAATTTAGTAATTTTTCATTCAATTTAAATAGATATACAAATAATTGGAGGAAGTTGCATCATTATACACTACAAGAAATTACTATCCACGACACGCAATATCATCGGAATACACTCTGTGCTGCGTCCAATGCACTTATACCAACTCCAAATCCAGCATAGGCGATTAGTTGCATTAGCTTCGTCGCCCCAGGTTAAACACCGATGTCGTATTTCATCATAGGTATAGGTAAGTGTACTGATACCAAAAATGTAGTATAAACGTACGAGGAAACCATTGGCTCTTCACTGCACCAATGCCAAAACTACGTAGCAGTTGATTTGTTTCTTTGCTACACCTACGCCAATTTTGTGTAGCAATGGGTTGGTTTGCCTCTGTGCTACACCCACGCAAAAGAGGTGTGAGTGATTAGCCTGCAATCGAACCGAACACGAACAAATAGGCCCGTTCAAAAATCATTCGATTATTCGTGTTCGAACTCGAACGAACACAAGATGTGTTTTCGTGTTCGTTCGATTAACCCGTAACTCGTTCGTGTTCGTTCGATTAACCTCGTAAATCCTGTTTGAATAACTCATTCGTGTTCGTTCGTAAATCATTCGTGTTCGTTGCGTACCGTTCGTGTTCATTCGACTAACTCGTAAATACTTTTCGAATAACTCGTTTCGAATACCTGTTCGAATAAAAAATATACACTAACTTTCCAATTCATGCTATAAAAAACAAATATGCACAACTTTATAATTATACCCATTTAATTCATATTTGAAAATACTAACCTCCTATATATTTATATTTTAAATAATCAATAAAACTCAGTAAATTAAAATAGTTAACCATCATAAATAATAAAACTTCAAATAAATTAAACAGAACAATAAATCGTTCAAATAAATTGTGGGTTTGGACTTTGGATTTTTAAAATTTGGGCTGGGAAAATGTGGGTTTTGACTTTGACTTTGGTATATATATTATATATATATATAATATATATATATATATATATATCTATATATTTATATGATAATTGTGTATGTACAAAATTATTATCATACATATATTAATCATAATTAAATATTTTATATGTTATGAATTATCAAAATTATAGGTTATCATTACATAAATTTCATAAATATTTTAAATGTTTACATAGATATTTTGTATCAACCCCCATAAATGCATAGTAAAATAAAAGTCTTTATATATATGAATCAATACATATGTTGATTAATTTGTTATATATGTAAGGTGTATATACAAAATTATTATCATACAATATTAATCAAGGTTAAAATATATATGAATACCAAATTATAGATATCATATATTATTATCATATTATAATTATCATAAATATTTTAAATGTTTACATATATATTTTGTATCAACACCCTAAATTATAGTGGAATAAAGTCTATTGTAATTATGATCAATACATATATGTGATTATTTGTTATATATATATAATATATATTATTTTATATCATTATTGTCTACGTATATATTTTGTATCAATACCTAAAATTCATATGTGGTATGAGAGTTTATTGTAATATTGATTAATACAAATGTGTGATTAATTTAGGTTAATTAAACTATTATATTATTAATTTGTTATGTTATACATCACTTGTTATACATATGTTATGTTTATATTTACTATACTATATTTATTATTATTAATTGAAATGCTATTTATAATATTTAATTATTGTTACAATTTGGAAAAATACGAAGCTATTATGTTATTGGATTTACTATATTATATATCACTTGATTATACAATCTATTATGTTATTAAATTTGTTATGCTATGTATCATAATAATTTATTACTTTTTAATTAAAACGCTATATACTTATATATTTAATTATTGATGACATTTGGAAAAAAAAAAAAATCCAAACATATTATATATATAAGAAAAACAAAAGTATTATAATATTTTATTATTGATTACCATTAAAAAAAATTCATCCAAACTAAATCAAACATAATATAAAAATGAAAAAAATAAATAAATTATAATAATGCATAACATGTTTTTCAAACATAAACGAACGAACAATCGAACGATTGTTCGCGAACGGAGGGATTAGTTGAACGTATAATGCTCGTGAACATAATTGAACGAACAACCCCTGTTCGAACTCGATCGAACATATTATCGAACGAATATCGAACTGTTCGCGAACATTATCGAACGAACAACGAGTTGTTCGCGAACTGTTCGGTTCGTTTGCAACCCTAGGTGTGACAATTGATTTGGATTCTAACCATAGCGAGTAAACCACTTTTCCCACCCAAATAATGGTTTAATGACACTACTTCACCCACAAACTTTTAATATGTCACTTTATTACCCATATTTATATTCCGTTTTTTATTCTAGCATCGTTGCGACACACCACCACCATTTTCTTCCCCGATCATCATTCACCAAAAGTTCTCAAACCCTACTCCTGCCGACCTCGCAAATTGCCAACAATTGAGTGATTAAGGTTTGTACAACCGACCATCTCAAATCAAATTTCGATCAATTTCAACCACCAAAATCCAACTTTTCACCACTAAAAGACTCATGGATCTCCCCTCTTTAAAAACTACAACAGCCTAGACCGAGTTTGTTCTCTGTTCATCGCTAATAAAATAATATTTTAAAAGTTTGTGAGTGAGAAAATGTAATTAAACCATTATTTGGATGGGAAAAAGTCGTTAACTCTTCTGCAAGCTGAAACAAGAAAGTTATGGCACAAGCAATTGATTTCCCAAATAAGGGAATTTTCCAATACTGTATATTTGTAGCTTTATCTCAACTCTTCTGCAGGCTGAAACAAGAAAGTTATGGCACAAGACTAGTTTTATTTCTGATAAAAATATAATTAATACATGTAAAATACTATGGCATATAATACATAATACTGAACTTTCATTACAAGGAATAAATATTATACATAACGCTGAAACATTAACTATTGGCATCAGGTGTTCTTTTTGTGCTGGTCCATCTGAAAATCACAGTATCTGGGGAAACTGATAGTGATCAGATTCAAAATCATGTGGATAGAATAATGTCCATCTCCTCTGCCTTTTCTTTATCGTATCCATTATTGATCTTTTTAGCCCTTAGAATCTCCAAGACATCTGCCATACCTGACCTCATGTCTTTCTTACCTTGCAGGCACTGAAATGCTAACTCGGCTACTGCATTTATCATCTTTCTTACCTTGCAGGCACTGAAATGCTAACTCGGCTACTGCATTTATCATCTTTCTCACCTTGTAGTCTGAACCGAACCACCGTTGACCATCATAAACTACAAAAACAAATTAATCCTATTATACATACAACATAAAGATGGTTTATTCTATGGTAAAACATGATTGGAAAGTTTGAATTATGGTATACAATACAAATTATTTGAGAAATGAAACTAGCAATCATAAGAACATCCTTTACCCAAGGAAAACAAGTTAGCATCCAGTCTTGATGCCAGAAACATATAAAGTGAATAAGAAAAAAATAAAGAGAATACATAAGAATGCAGCAAAAGCTACACTTCCAAGCAATCACCATAGAATCAGCATCATGTTAAGTTCCTCGTCCTTCAAATTCAACATGGAAGGATACTTATTGTTTTGTGGTAAGAACTTATCAAGAGCAGACGAGAGAAAAGGAGTGAAAGAATACTTTTTCATTCATCTGGAAAGTTCTCACTTGTTGCAATTAAGAAGTCTAAAATGGTACTATGTTTCATTGAAACCTTGTTCATCAAAGCGAAAGGTACACTTCTACCAGTGGGAGGTTAAAGTTCATTGGAGTTTTCCTTAATGATGATGGGTTACTTAAAATGATGTGTTTTGCGTTCGCTAAAGCAAATGTTGATAAACATGTCCACAGGCATAGGAGAAGTACACCTGTTATGTAACGGGCGGCATGTAGTGTCACTCTACTGATAATGAGAATCACACAGAGGACAATAGCTTTGGTCATCGTATTGTGTGATTGGCTTGTTAGATTGTTTCACATTTGAGGTTCGTAGTGGGAGCTATCAACTGATGTGGATTAAGTTGTTGGCTACCTAATCACTTGGTCGCCAAAGCGAAGATTTGAAATGGGCTAGATGGGATCTCAATCCACTAGGAAAGCCAACGGGCTTTCCCGAGTTAATAGTGAGTGTATAGGCTTGAGGAAAAATAGTGGGAGCGTTTTAATAAAAGACCATATCAAATAATATAAACTTTATATTGACTTACTTTTATGTATTGGAGATTCATTTAAAAATGAGCAATATCAACCTATGATTGATAATCGAGAAAGAAAATAGGGGATGGATCTAATTTCTTGGACTGGTATCAAAACTTCAGATTGTACTAAAGTCCAAAAGAAATTATAACCTTGACAAGCCTCATTGGCTGAGCCTGATCTTGATGCCACTTAGGAAGTAAAGGAAACTTACCAAAGGTTCTTTGACGATGTTGAGACTATTCAATGCCTTATGTTAGCATCGATGACCGAGCTGCAAAAGCAACATGAGAATATGGAGCTGCTGCATAATTCTGCACCTTAAGGAGTTTTTGAAGGAAACGATTGACATGCGAGGTACAAGGTGTCGAGTGCGTTGTTTAAAAGTCGTATGACCGAGGGAGCCCAAGTTGGTCTTCCGTGCTCAAGATGATTGGGTACATAAAGAGGCTTGAGACTTTAGGATTTAGGTTGGATGCAAAATTACAAATGGATTTAATTCTACAATCCTTACCCAAATGCAAAACAAACCAAATTTCAAACTAATACCTGTTGGAATATGGAGTGGATAATCTTTGTGAGGGATTTCATTATCTAGAGTCAGAGCAGTTCCTTCCCACCCAGTCAACACCATAGGTGAATTTCAAGTCAAATTGCAAGCATCCAAAACATTCATAGTTGGATATTCTTCTACCACCGTATACCTAGCAGCATGTACAACTGGTACTTTAACACGAATATGCGTGCCATCTATTGCCCTAACACAATCTATCATTATTTATCCAATTAGGTAAAAGTACTAGTTAGATTAAGGTGTATGTTTGCGTTGATACCTTAAGTATGGATAGAATCTACTATGTGTTTTGTATTTCAAGTGGCACTTGGAGTCCATTTGGTTGTAAGAGGTATTTATCCTTAACTCTAGATGCTTCCAACACTTATGAAAGTGTGACTAACCATCTCACCGGAGCGATGGAAAAGCAATGAACATGCAATATGCCTGTGCTTGACCTAAATCCAAAGGAATTTAGCAACTTGTTCCTCAACGTAGCTCGTGAGTTGAATGAAGCCCCCCTTCCGTTGCTAAAATTCGACAAAATTACAAATGTTGCGGGACCCATTCGAATCAAATGTCTACCACTTGGTCCAGCAATACGTTGCATATTTCATCCCGAATTCGCTCACTTTGCAAGCGTATGCATGATTAATTCTACTCAAACGTGAAGTAGTTGTGCTGTGGGTTGTTGTGCTAAAACACATCCAACTAGTAGTAGAAACATCATATGATATGATGTATACAAAGATAGCGTACATGATCAAATCAATTATTTAAGTCATCATAGTCAGCTATCTAATAAAATAAGAATGAGACACAACAACAAAAGAGTTATTATCAAATTAAAACAATTAAAAGAACAAAAAGTATAGCAATAATGTCACATATGAACAAACTTTCTGCTGAAGTTGGCTAAATCTCAATGGCCAGAGGCATCACACAGTTTTTACACCATTGCAAAAACTTTACTATGACTGTCGTGTGCAATTTTTTCAAAAGCTAATTTGCAGATAAAGTGTGAGAGAATAAAACTGGGTCAATCATTTTTTCTATTTTTTTTTTGGGTGCACTAATTGGTGTTGAAGCAAAGAAGACATCAGTTCATGGTATTATCATGTAGCCACCATATGGGCCTCAATAGCTATCGTAAGCTTGATTGACAAACCAACCAAAATCTTAAATTTAGATGCACTGCCCAGAAAGTATATGAAGTAATATCAAACTCATACTCAATCAATGTGGGTCAGGACACAACCCTCATACATGTAAGACTAACAACAGTATAGGCCTAAACTCTGAGTCTGAGAAAATCTATACTATTATATTTATAATTTTGCTGGGACTGAATCTAAGGATATTAAAAAGATGGATCCACAAAACAACACAACATAAAAAATAAAAAACCCTAAGAAAATTTAGTTCAATTTTTATTGTGAGAAACTTCAGATCTACTGTTTTAGGGTGAACTGACTCAGTTCAGTTCAATTTATGCTTCAGCAATTATTGAACCATTCAAACCAAATGAATAGCTTTATCAATTTTGGTCTGTTTATTAAAAGAAAAGTATGTTTCAAGGTGAAAATAAGAACCACATAATACAACATAATGTTGATCCCACAAAAGGATATAATCTTGTAAAGGAGAAAAGTTTCCTCAGAGTAAATGAATAAACAGCAACAATGTCCTAAATCTGCATTAAAGGAGGTTACTAACAGATTCAAGGAAGGATTAACACATTTCAAAAACTGCTTGAATCTCTGTATTTTTAGTCAAAGGGTATAGAGGCTCCTAAATTTATCCTATATTTGACCTTATCGATCCATTATTACACTAGGATGCCTGGATATATATATAATACTTTGGGTGAACCTTGAAGAGAGAGCTTTGTGGTATGCCTTATTTGTCATATGGTCTTTATCTTCATTTGCCATTTTGGGCATGTGGCTGATTATTCAAACAAGAGCCAGCCAATTTGATAGATGGGCACTATGTTTTGTTTCTTCAGGAAAAAGAAAAGTTGTTATTACGTTATTTTCACGCTTTCGGGTGTTTGATTTTAGAATGAGAGTAGATCAACGGTTTGGGATTTCTGGAGGATGAGTGCTGCGAACAATGCTCAATAACACTTTACAGAAAGAAAAGATGTTTAATCTATGTGGCACTCTTTTGATCCTAATCTTTGTGGGTTTAACAGTAAGACCTCGGATCAAATCCTAGCAGCAAAACTGACAGAAGATCCATTCGAAAATTTTAAGGGTGACCTACAACAGAATAATGTTTCCCGGTTCCACTACCTTTAAATGGAGTCTACCAAGCAGTAATTCATACAAGAAAATACCAAACGTCTACCAATCAACAGCACTACCCATGACCATCTCCTCTTATTATCAAAGAAAAGTCAGTGAAATAAAGAATCGACTCATAAACAGGCATCAAAATCCAATCATGACAATCACATTCAACAGAAGCAAAAGTGACGAATGACAATCATGCAAATACATTGACAAATCCATAAAAGAAGCAAGAACCCAGAGGGAAATTACCTTATCTCGTGTAATATTCTCTTGGTTGACGTCTAATTTGCGAAAGTGAGAGAAATCTAATACAAACCCAAACGAGTATTGGCGGCAAAGGGATTTGTGTGCAGCAAATTAAAACCATTCGTGTGCAGCAAATTAAAACCATTCGTGTGCAGCAGCAAGAGAATTGTGTGCTAGAGAAGAGTGAACAACAGCGACAGATTTGTAAGGAGTAGAAGGGGTTTTTTGGGATAATTAAAGTTTAAACCAGTGAAAACACTCGATTTAGGGTGTTTTTTATAAACACCTCAAAAATACACTACAAGTTGTGGGGGGTTTTTAAACCAGTCAAAACCAACTATTAAAAATTGGCAAGTAGGGTTTTTAAACACCTCAAAACCAGTTTAATTAAAAACCCCCAAAACCAGTGAAAAAAACTTCCAAGCAGACCCTAACTCTATGAGATTAACAAAGTATGAAGAGCTTGGAAAATGACATATACGATCCTCAATGTCATTATTTCCATAAAAAATAGTACAACACTACTGCAAATACGGTGGCAAGAAACTTTGTTTGGATTATGTTACACTCTTCCTATTCATCACCCACCTTTTATATGTATAAATTACACATTTATCCGTTTACCAATATATCATTATTATTGGAACCGACATGGTCGGCTTTCCAAACATTACTCGTATAATTAAATAGCCATTCTGGTTTATACAACTATACAGCATCACAAAAATGGAGTTGTTCGTTGACTTGAGATTCTCTTCCCGCCATTGTAAATCTCTTCATCCCTCTTTGTAGATCCCCCGGCAGTTCCGTTGGATCAGCACCCACACTTAAAATTTTAGTCCTGATTCTTTTGATTTATTACTAGTTTTTTTCTCTTAACATCCATCAAACTTATGTCCGACTGCCAATTCGGTCACCGTTCGATTGGGTATTTTTGCTCCTTTGAGTTGACTTTGCTTGCTTCAATTTCTTGTC